GGTAAGGGATGGGAGGGAGGGGTAGGACGTCAGATATGACGCGAGCGCACCTAGCTTGTCCTCCTCCTCCCCCTCCTCCCCCTCCTCCCCCTCCTCTTCCTCTAATCCACCCCTCCTCGAAAGACACCTGAGCGACGGCATACGCGCCCTCTCAGAAGACACCGAAGACACCGAGAACCTCTCAGAGGGCGCGAGGGCTTTGAGAAGTCCTGCCGCCTTCTGAGAGGGCCTTCCCCACCTCCCCCCCCTCGCTCGCCGCCGGAAACAAAAATTGCTGTTGTCCCTCTGCCGTCTCGCTCGGCAGTGGCGGTCTGTCGAGGCTCTCTCGGGGGGCGCGGGGGATATGGGGTCGTGTGCGCCGACATACGCGCGTAAGCTGCCCGCGCAAGGTCGCGCGGAAGCGCCATCGTTCCCCAGGCGAGGTGCCGTGCTGGCAGGCTGCGTAAGCCCCCGCGTGAGGTCGCGATGCCATCTCGCGTGAGGCCCATTTTGGATCGTCGCTCAGCGAAGGGTGGACCCCGGGAGGGGTCCAGCGCAGATATTCCCGGCGGGGGAGTCGCCGTTGTCTCCACCGGCCCTCCTCCGGACATCGGGAAGCTCGTCCCGAGGAGCGCGAACCTGGTCGCCCCACAGCACCCCATCATGATCGCGTGCGCCTTCGTCGCGTCTTTCTTCTCGCTCAGCTTTGGGATCGCGGACTTTGTGCTCTACGTCTGGGTCGATGACGCGTTCGTGCGCGAGAACAAGAAGCTCGTGACTTTCCACTACTGCGTGGAGATCTTGATGAGATTGCCCATGCTTGTGTTCTTCCACCTTTGCGGAAAAACGAAGTACGGATATGCGCCAATCGCCGTTCTGTTCGTAGTCGATGTGCTCACCACCACGCTGCTGCTCTCGTTTGCGCGGTTCTCCCAGAGCAGGCGCAAATGTTGCTCCTTATCAATCAACCGTCACGGTGTGACGCAGTGCGTCTTCAGCGTTATCATATCCGTGCCGCTATTTTTCGTCAACTTGGTGTTCTGCGATCCGGGCATGGGTTTCTTCTACGTCAACCAGGTCTACTACGCCGTCAAGTACTGCGAGCTCGTCGCGATGTGGCTCTTCGTCGCGATGATGAGGAAGGACCGGCGCGCCGTGACCCAGCCGCTCAGCGTTGGGGGGTCCGACAGGGGCCTGAGGACCGAGGGTGGTGTCCTTGCCAGGGCCATGACATCTCCCAGATCTCATTCGGAGGGCACCAACTATACACCAACACCGATCCTGGCCCAGGATCACCCTGGGCCCAGGATCGGTGTATACGCCCTCCTGCCTTGCGCAAGAAGGCATATACACCGAACCTGGGCCCAGGGTGATCCTGGGCCAGGATCGGTGTTGGTGTATAGTTGGTGCCCTCCGACTGATGGCACCCCCTCGTTTTTACATGCGCCCTCTGGCCCCCGCTCGTCCGCGCACTTGCCCGGAGCCATGATGTGCACCCCACCCTCTGCCTTGCACCCGTTCTCGGCCCCCCCGATCAGCGGTGCTATCGACAGCTGGGGGGTACTGGATCTGGCGAGCAGCTGGTTCCAGGCGTTCATGTACACCGTAATCTCCTTCGCCAGCCTCAACGCCGCCTTCGTCTGGTGCTTCGTGCCTGCCAGGCGACGCAAGAAGGACGAGAGGCTCCGAAGACGAAACAACGGTACTGACACAAATCGTCGAAGGCCCGCGCGGATCTCCTGGATCGGCGCTGGACCCTTAGCGGCGCCTCCGGCGCCGCGCCTGGCGCGCCCGAGGCGCGCCAGGGGCGGGGGGTTGTCGAGCGCCGACGCCAGAGATCCAGGCGGACCTGCGAGAGGTTCTGCTTCTGCCGATGTTTCGTCTGAGGCTGGCGCAGGGCACGGAGACCGTGGTGAGGATGTCCACCGACCCCGTGGAGGCCGCCCTGGTGTCGCAGCCGGGCGCGGCGCCGGAGGGCGGGCGTGGCGGCACGCTGCTGGCGAACTTGGAGGGGATCTTCGAGCTGCTCCGCCTTCTCAGCTCGGGGGCGCCCACGGGGTGGGGGGAGGAGTGAGGACGGCTTCGTTTTCGTTGCCGCGGGCAGTTTCCGTTAGACACAAGTCATCTGCCCAACAGCAGCCGCCTCCGCTGTTGAACAGCATCTGCTGTAGGGGCACCGCACCCGTCCGTTCCGTGCCCGCTTCGGGCGCGCCGGCCCATGCCTGGCCCCCGCCGTCGGCGCACCCCGACCAGCACGACGCACGTCGCCGAGAACCGCGCCCTCATCCTGGAGGGCATCTCGGAGGAGGGGCAGCCGGAGCAGCGGCGGCCCCCCCGCCCGGCCCGAAGCCGCCCCGGCGTCGGGTCCCCCCGAGGTCCCTCCTCCTCCTCCTCCTCCTCCTCCTCCTCCTCCTGCTTCCCTCTTCGGGGGAGGAGTCGAGCTGCGGGAAGCGGGGGTCAGTGCAAACGGGGGGTCAGCCAGAGCGCCAGGCCTTGCAGGATCCTGCAGGGCCAGGGGCGCGTTGGCCCGGGCTCGCGCGCAGGATCCTGCAGGATCCTGCGAAGCCGGATTGCCCTGGGTCTGCACTGGCCCGGGTCAGTGCGTCCCCGAAGGAAGAGAGTATCGACGACGCGCCGACGATGGGCGCCCGTCAGCGCTTGACTCTTCCATTTTTGTCCGAGGGCATGGTTCGCCTTCGCAGTAGCAGGGTGATGGCTTTTACACGGCGGCGTGTCGTTCGTAGTGTTTTTTTTTGTTCCCGCACTCCTCTGAGATGCGAGCGTTGTATTGTGGTTCACGCCCGCGCTCTCGGTTTCGGGCCACGGGGCCATCACAGATCGATCGGGTTTGACAACTGCAGCAGAGAGATGGGGTCTCGTGCTCTGGTCGTGACCCCTCGCGATGTTGCAGTTGTTCCGTGATGCGTCTGCTCTCACGGCCTCCGGGCTCGCTTTCCGAGGCGGACCCCCGCGCGGCGACGAGAAGCTCCGGGAGGCCCCAGAAGAGGGACGAGCAAACACCAGGGAGGGGCCGCCGTTGTCTCGGCTTGGCCATCCTCCGGCCATCGTGGAGAACCTGTGGTACGAGGCCCGCCATGGCAGGAACGGGTCCGGGGGGAGGTTGGTCCTGCCCCACGGGTTGCCCTCCGAGCCCGTGCGGCGCCTGGGCCCGTGCGGCCGCCGGAGGGGGCAGCCGAACGGGCTCACCTCTGACTGGGTCGAAGGGGTTGAGTCCGCTCGGCCGCCGAAGGGGCTCAAACGCCGATCGGGCTCACAAGGGAACCCTGGAGGAGGAGGAGGAGGAGGAGGAGGAGGAGGAGGAGGAGGAGGAGGAAACCCTGGTGCAGACCTCCCCGGGACCAGCGCGTCCTCCCGAGCAGTGTTCTGACGGCCCCAGGGCCCGTGGATGGGGCCCCAGGAGGCCTGGAAATCGGCGGAAGACTCGCAGGACGCCCTTCCTTCGGGACCCGTTCTCCTTCATGCTGAGAGGCCCTGCCGTGGGGCGGCGTGTTCGACGACGGTGCTGGCGGCGCGGTGCACATCGCGGTGCGGCCCCGCGAGCGCGCCATCTTCGTCACGCCGCGGGGGCCGCGCGGAGCTGGGCCGCACGCTGCAAGCTCCCCTCTCGCCAGAGCGCCCTTGGATGTGCGCCGTTCTCGGGGGCGTTTTTGCTGGCTCCTGGAGGTGCTCTTGCCTCGGGATGCGTCCCAACAGCTTCGCGTCGCCGAGGGTGTTCTGGGATTGCCCAGATCTTCCTGGACTGCCGCCAGAGATCCGATTTATGACCCGGGGGCCCAAGACACACTTCGCCAGAGTGACCTCTGGTGCGCGGCTTTTGGGGGGCGCAGGGGGGGCGAGGACCACGCGCGCAGGCCGCCACCCACCGCATCACCTCCTCAGCGATCGGCAGGCCGTGTACCAGAGGTCACGATTGCATAGGGTCACTCTTGCAGTGGCCGTTTCGGCCTGGTTCGACACCGATATCCGTCGGCCCGATCCGATCCGATTCGATATTCTTCCGACCCGATGCCACCCAGTGTTTGCATGGCGCTGTTGTGCAGCTTGGCGCAGCTGGTTCGCTTCGACTCCGACTCCGCGCCGATGCAGTCCGAGTCGACGCGCAATCCGATTCCATCCGATTTCTCGATTCGGGGTTGATTGATCGGCACGGACTCGGTTCGCCGGAGTCTCGGTTCGTCGTTGTTTGGTTCGCCAGGGCTTGGTTCCTTCGCGGGGCTTGTTTCGTCCGACTCGACTACTCCAGATTTCGTAATAAAAGGGAGGGGGTCTGGACCCTCCAAGACAAGCCATTTCAGACCTCCCCCGTGGGAGAACCCTCCAAAACATCGTCCCCAGACCCTCCCCAGGCCCTCCAAGATAGCCTGGAAGAGACCCCCCCCCCGAAATGAGACCCCCCTCCCTTTATTACGAAATCTGGAGTAATCGTCCAGCTCGGTTAGCCGGGACTCGCTTCGCCGGAGCTCGGTTTTCGCCGGGCTGGGGCTCGTCTCGCGGGGGGTCGTTGCAACCAGGGCCTGTCTCGCCAGGGCTCGCCTCGCCGGGCGGGCGGACCTTACTTAGCGGGCGGGTCGGGTCGGGCGGGCGGACCTCAACGGTCAGGAGCGAAAGAAGGACGTACATGTACATGAATCCACGCTGGTTTCGAGAGTACGCATTGCGCAAATGTTCGTATGACGCGGCCGGTCTCGCGGATCGAGGGGCCGTGTTCATGTACATAGCTTGGCGCGTACGTCCTTTGTGGGCTCCCTAAACGGGCTGGTCGGTTCGGGCGGGCGGGACATCAAAGTATGATGCGTCGTCGAGGTGGCACGCGCCAACCCCAACGGGCGGGTCCAGTCGGCCGGGGGGACCCTGAGGGGCGGGTCGGGTCGGGCGGGCGGACCCCTCACGAGCGGGTCGGCGGGCGGGCGGCCATCGCCTCGTCGGGGGCCGGAGCCAGGCGAAACGAGCCAGGCGAACCGAGCCAGGCGAGCGGAGCCGAGGCGAACCGAGCCGAGGCGAACAAAGCCCGGACAAATCGAGCCGGGCGGATCGAGCTGGGAGAACCGAGCCCAGTTGAATCGAGCCGGGCTAATCGAGATTCGGGCGAATCGAGCCTACGCCGACTGAATTTCCCTTGCGTGTAAGCACGAGGAGAGGGCAGGGGGTGCGACCCCTATCAAGGGCCTGTGCGCGCCCTCGCGTAACCCCGAGTCGGGCCCAAACAGAGTTGGCTAGCCGAAAATCCAACAAAGTCGGGTCAGTAGCGTCGGCATCTGCGAACGGATAGGGTCACCCTTGGGCTCGAGGCCCACTCTTCGTGCGCAGCCCCGAGGAGAGCGCAGGGGCGCGACCCTGCAGGGGTCGATCGTGGGCGGGGCCCTGGTGGTCCACGACGGGGGCGCCGCCCGCCGCGGCCGCTTCGACAGCCGCCACATCTCTGGTCGGACGAAGGGTCAGGAGCAAGGTGAGTAGGAGGCCACATGCGGACCCTACACCTTGGGCGATGCTTAAGAAAACCTAAGTTTTCGTCCAGAGTCTCGATGATTTTTAATTTTTCAATGTAAATCCGAAGATTTTGATAGAAGTTCTGGGTTTTATTCAATTTCTGAGACTATGAATTTCTTAACCCATGATTTCTTAAGCATTTCGCAGGGTGTACCCCACCTCCCCACGATTTCTGAGGGGGCGGGTGGGGTTCACTTCCTCCGGAACCTCCCGAGCGAAGAGGAACCCCACCTCCCCCCTCAGAAATCGGGGGGTGGAGCGGCAGGCTTCGCGTGTGGCCTCCTAGTGAGAGGGGGGGGGATGGCTCTGGGGAGGGGGGGAAACATCGACCCCGGCTCGCCCACTCATCGCCGATAGAGGCCCGAGGCCCCGCCTCCGCCCAGGAGCGTGCGGATGCGCTGTCGGTAGCCTGCCGTGGAGGCCCATGCCACGAAGCGCCCTGCTTGCCTCCAGGGTACCCTGGGTGTCTTGGGTTTCGATGGTTTTACTATGGAGAGCGTGCCGTTCCCACACCAGAAATTAGTGGACGAGCTGTGTTCTCCGGGATCGGGTTTCTTGTGGAAGGTTTCTTGTGGTCGAGCTCCTGCTGTACCGCCGATCTGTCGGCGAAGTATCGCCAGTTCCAGGCCGATGTCCCGCACGCTGAGCCACCCGATCGTTGCCCCTCAGGGAAGGGGGTACGATAATTAGGTTCGTTTCGTACCGAAGTGGTGGCGATCCCAGCCCGAGAGATCAAGGTTGAACGCCGGCAGTGGCCGCGAATCGGCCGATAGTGAACGACCTGCGCTATCGGAGAGCGCCGAACGTTCAAGGTTGAACGGTTCACGCGGTGTTAGAGACCCTTGTCGAGGTCGTCACGAGACGAGCCCGCCGTGCGAAAATTGCTGCATGCAGGCAGTTTCGGCCCCGCCCCCGGGCGGTTTCCAAGATTGCACTTGCGCCTACGGCGCCTGGAGGCGCAGGTAAAATCGGCCACGTGTGCCGATTCGCAAAACCCACTCTGCTGACCCCCCCCTCTCGTCCGACCCGAGCCTCCGCTGGGACGACGGCGAGCGGTGGACCCGGCGCCCAGACCCCTGCGGGGAGGACTCGCAGGCCGTGTTGAAGCTCAGTTCGAAGGAGACACATCGGCACCAGCATCACCTTCTGGACGGACGCGCGGATGTCCTGGATCTGCGCCGAGCCCCCTTGCGGCGCCTCCGGCGCCGCCCCTTCTTGCTCCCCCAAACAAGGGGAGGGGTGCCCAGCGCCGATCCAAGAAGTCCGAGCGTACCTCAGGAAGGTCAGACATGCTCGTGCCGATGCTCTGCTTCTGCCGTACTCCCGCAGATTGCCCTCGCTCTCCATTTGGACGCCGTCGCGGAGCCGCTCCGCGCCCCGGACCTGGAGGCTCCCGCCGAGGCGAGGTGCAGGAGGCCGCTGCTGAGCTTTGTCGTCGCCTACGCCTTCGCCACGGCGCAGGCCGACGTCATATCCGACCTGTACTGGGCCCTGGTGTGCCTCTCACAGGAGGAAGAGGAGGACCGATGGACACGCAGGGAGTCACGGGGCCGTGGAGGCAGAGGCTGTGCGGTGCAAGCTGCGTGGTGCGAGCGAGCTGCGTGGTAGCAGCTGGAGGTGAGAGCTGCGCGGTGCGGGCCGGAGGTGCAAGCTGCTCTGCTGCGCGACCCGCGCAGTGCCAGCACGGTCGCGCCCGCGAAGCTCCCACGAGCGGGCACGGGCGAGAGCGCGGCGAGACCTCGGCGGACCCCCCCCCCCCCAGGCGCACGGGGCGCCCACGGGGCGCACTTTTTTGCGTCGGCGGCTGGGCAGGGTGACCGCGCTGGCGAAGGGCTGCCCGGACGGGGACACCGCTGCAGCGCAGTGTGCCCCCATGCATGCAGGGGGGGAGGGGAAGAGCAGAAGAGGAGGCGGCCCACGGGGCGCACAGGGGGCGCCCCACGAGCGGGCCCCCGGCGAAGCCTCGGCGGAGCCCCGCGCCAGGCGCCCCCCGCGGCGCCAGCGGGCGGGAAGGCCGGGCGAAACCTCGGAGGACTCGCCTGGCCCGCGAGGCGCCCAGGAGCGGGCCCTACAGGGGCGACCCATGCCAAGAAGCACCCTGCTTGCCTCCAGGGTGCCCTGGGTGTCTTGGGCTTCGATGGCTTCGCCATGAAAGGCGTGGCGTTCCCACACCAAACATCGATGGATGTCCTGGGGTCTCAGGGCTGGGTTTCTCGTGGAAGGTTTCTTGTGGTCGGGCCCCTACTGTAGACGGAGTTCCGGTGGACCCACCCAGCGCACGAGGCGCCTATGTGGCTTACAGACCAGAGCAAGAGCACCCACGTGCAAGCATTGCCTGCGAGAATTGTTGGAGGTCCGCGCGAACTTTTTGGATGGGCGCTCCCCTCCCCCCCCCCTGCGCTCGGAGCGCGCCAGCGGCGGCGCCGGAGGAGCCGCCAGGGGGGAGGGGGGCGGGCGGGCAGCGCCGATCCAAGCAGTCCGCGCGGGCGGACCTCTGAGAGCCTGTGCCTGTGCCGATCTCTCCGCCTGGAGGAGGAGCGGGCCGGTCGGCCGCCGCAGGGCGCGGCGCGAGACCTCGGCTACAGGGCCTCCCGCATCGCTCTGCTGCGGCTCGTGAACAACGAGCTCCCGCACTTGGTGCCGGACTGCGGCAGCCAGGAGAGGAGGCCACATGCGAACCCTACCCCTACGCCCCATGATTTCGGAGGGGGGGGGGGACACTACCTTCGGGAGCTCCCGAGCGGAGTGAACCCCACCCTCCGCCTCAGAAATCGTAGGGGGCAGGGGTAGGGTTTGCACGTGGCCCCCTACAGGAGGACATGGCGCGGTTTCTGTTGCTGGCGAGGCGGATGCTGCAGGGGCAGAGGGAGGTGCTCCGGGCCTTCCACAGGCAGAGAAGGACGATCTGCTGATGCCGCCACCCTTCCCTCGTCCCCACGGCTGGATTTGCTTCGGAAGCCTGGTCAGAACAGATGGGATCGGAGGATCGTATCACATCGGCTGTGTATCGGCGATGCTGCGCGATCTGGGGTCAGATGTTCTCCGCCCTGATGTCGCCAGGACATCGGCGATGAGGTGCGATCCTCCGACCCGATCTGGTTCGGCCCTATTTGGGGAACACGCGCAAAGTGCATACACATACATGTTCGGAGGTCCGAGCGGATTTCTTGGGTCGGCATTCAACGTGTTAGCCGCATCACGAAGTGGAAGGGCAGCTTTCCAGGAGTACCCATGCATGTCTGCCTCTTGGTCCGCTCTAAACCCCAGCCATGCGCTTCCAACATCCGCCTCAACTTTTGCGTCCAAGGGCATTGCATCATTACCGCGTACGCGGAAGCGGAAGCGACTGCATCGACACAAATGTTCAGAGGTATGCGCGGATTTCTTGGATCGACGTTTGGCCCCCCTCCCCTGGCGCGCGGGTTGCACCAAGGGCGGCGCCGGATTCGCCACCAGGGGGCCCAGCGACGATGCAAGATTGCCCGCGGACATCCGAGAGTCGCTCAAACATACTTCTACGATGAAAGCGTTGCCCACCCGAGGGCGACGCGCGCGTTGAGACATCTCAGAGTATATGCTTCATGGCTGGCGTTGCCTGATCAAAACTGCGTTGCTTTGCCTAAACAAATTCCGAGAAACGGATGTATCAAATTGCGTTGCCTGATCAAAACTAGATAAGCCATCATTCCCTACCTGGGCTTTGCCTAGAAGGGTTCTTACCCTGTTGGCTTAAAGGGCCCGGCAGTGGACCTCGCCCCAGGCGGTTCCCCTAGGATCCGCCCCGCGGTTCCCCCAGTTGCGCCCCCTGGGTTCACCCAGCTTAGCTTAGCTAAGCTTAGCTTAGCTTAGCTTAGTTTGTCTCACCTTAGCTTAGCTTAGCTTAGCATTGCCTAGCTTGGCTTAGCTTAGCTTAGCTTAGCTTATCTACCATACGGTTAGCTTAGTTTAGCTCGGTTTAGCTTGGCTTAACTCAGCTTAGCTTAGCTTAGCTTAGCCTAGCCTAGCTTAGCTTAGCTTAGCTTAGCGTAGCTTAACTTACCTTAGCTTAGCTTAGCGACGCGCAGCATAGCGCAGCGCAGAATTAGCACAGTATAGCATAGCATAGCCAAGCATAACATAACATAGCATACCATAGCACAGCATAACATAGCATAGCTCAGCATAGCTCAGTATGTCATAGCATCGCATACCATAGCATAGCATAACACATCATAGCGTAACCTATCATATCATATCATATCATATCATAGCATAGCATAGCACAGCACTGCTTATCATAGCACAGTGCACCATAGCATAGCATAGCATAGCATAGCATAGCGTAGCACACCCTAGCCTAGCCTAGCCTAGCCCAGCCCAGCATAGCATTGCGCAGCATAGCATAGCATAGCAGAGCAGAGCAGAGCATAGCAGAGCAGAGCATAGCATAGCGCAGCACAGCATCCACTACTACTGCTGCTAATGTTGCTTTCCTAGAGGCCCCAACTCCTAGGTAGGGTCGCACTGGGATACTTTCGTAAACGCAAGAACCGGTTTACTAAAATCAAACACGGATTTTCTAAATCAGGGGCCGCTCTTCGAAATCCCAGATCCTATCATTGCCATGATCTGAGTGGCTCGATCAATTTCGCTTGGTCTTGCTCCAGGTGTGGCAGCAGCACATGGATCTCATCATGAACCATAGCGGCCGGGTGCATGGCGGCAGCGGGTCGTGGAATTACAAGACAGAGGTCGTCCGCGACGCGCTGCGGCGTTGGCGGGAGCTGCGGAGGAATTCGCGGCACGCCAGCAGGCCCGACGTGGACGAGGACCGTTCACTGGTGATGTGTTCAAAGGTCAGGAGCTTTGATTCTATAGGCTTACGCCACATCTGCCGACTCCTCCTATATAAACGACTGTGCCTCCAGGACTGCATTTCACGAGGCTTGTCCGAATCATGGCACGGCGCTCGACATCGTTCCTGTTGCTTCGTTGCTGTTATCGTACATCTTGGTGCTCTTTTGAAGCCTTTTGGTGGCATCTTGGCTTGTCTGCAGGCCATATCCGGCCGCCTCGAGGCATCTTGGGCCAAGTTTTGGGGCCTCTTGGGGGCTTCCTGGGGGCTTCTTGGAGGCCTTCGGGGTTCTCTTGGGGGTCCCTCAGGGCTTCGTGGGCTGTTCTTGGGGCAGGCTGTGGGCGTCTTGGGACGGAAGGCTCGAAAAGGTGCCCTCTGGGCTCCGTCTTGGAGCAGTCTGGGGGCCCTCTTGGGCTGTCTTGGGGGCTTCGACCCTTCCGGGGGGCCCCTTTGGCCGTCTGGGGGCGATATTGAAGGTTTCTTTGTCCGTCTGGGACGTTGTGAAAAACGAATAGGCAAGCATGCGAAAAATGCTTGTTTTTCGAAGGGGATGGGACGATTTCTGTTTCTTGGGACCCTCTTGGGGCGCATCTTGGGAGCCTTTTGGGGCGTCTTGGCAGCTTCGGAGGCCGCCTGGAGGCCATCGTGGGTGTCCAGGGCGATATTTCGGCGAATCGTGCCCCCCTGGGACCGTCTAGGGAGCGTTTTGGTGCCTTCTTGGCCAGTTTTGGAGCCCTCCGCTCCCCCGTGACGCGTTCCGGGGTCGCGTTGGGCGAAGGGGGGGCCGGTCGAATTGCCGATTTGGGTTTTTTTCTGGGGGGATTATAGAGGGGGATAGTCTCACACGCCTAGAGACCCACAAGGGGTCGGCGGACTTAGCGTGTCGCGCTGCTGGTTCCGGCCCACCGCGCTTCGTCGCGACACGCTAACAACATCGCGGTCTCCAAGTGTCTACGTCCCGAGCCTTTTCACCGTCTCCCGCCCCCTGGAGCGGAGCCACACGCTATCAATTCGCAGGGCAAAGCGTATCGCCTTGGCCGCGGCCGCGACGCGCTCAGCAAAAGTTACTCAACGTAACAGAGATTTTGGGAGCTCAGCGTGGATTTCTTCGGTCGGCGCTGGGCGCCCTCCCTGGCGCGCGGAGCGCGCCAGAGGCGCCGGAGGCGCCGCTAGTGGGGTCCAGCGCCGATCCGAGACATCCGCGCGGCCCTCTCAAAGTCTATGTTTGTGTCGCTTGATCTTCTGCCAGTGCCGTCGCTCTTGCCCGTCCTGGGGTCGGGGGCCCCGTGCAGTGGTATGGATGCGGTCGGTTCACGTGGCGATGCGCGCGGGCAACGCGGGCGAAGGCGTTCAAGGTTGAATTCTGCGTCGCGGGAGCACCGACGGACACTGCGCCCCCGTTGGACCCGACGCAATCCAATCTTGAACGACGGGGGCCGCGATCGATTCAAGGTTGAACGATCGACGCCGTGTCACAAACCTTGGCGTGCGCCGATGCCGCGCGAACCTACCGTAAAGTATCGATCGGCCAGAGGAGCTGCTCAGGTCTCCTACGCGGAGCCTTTCCAGGAGCTCGCTGGACGAGGAGGGCGAGCGGAGGATGATCTCCCCAGCGCGGTCCGACACGGACATGGTCTCGCCTGAGGACAGGGGCTCGGCGGCGTTCTTGTCCTTGCCAATCGACCCCACGGTCCGCGAAGAAGAAATAGCCACATAGACATGATTTTTGTTACGGTCAGCGCTGGCCTCTTCGATCGGCGCTGCCCCCAAGCGGGCGGCGCTGGAGGCGTCAACAGAGGGTCAGCGCCGATCCGAAAAATCTACGCGGACCTTCGAAAGGCCAGTCCAGGTCAATGTTGTTTTTCTTACTCTAGGTTCAGTTTCGCGGCATAGTCATCGACGAGACCGAGGTGATCCCGTCGAAGCAGGCGCCTCTGCTGCTGACGTGCAGGACCAGAGGCATACGCTCCCGCTTGATAAGTTCGCCGCACCAGACCCCAGGCGGGTGTTGAATGAACATTCTCTTCATTGTACGCACATTCAGGCACATTAGGTTCCCGCGCTTCTGAGACGAAGGGAGCGGAAAACATTTTGCTTGCGGAGTTTCGCGCGGACCTCCGAATGCTTATATGTTTATGCCGTTGTTCTCGTTCTTCGTAAGTTTTCCGCGTTTGACCTCCCGCGTGAGGTTTTGCGTGAGCGGCTCGTGCATCACGCGGCGTGCCGCGCGGCATGAGCCGTCGCGCAGAGTCGCCATGTCCTCGTACGGAACTCCTCTTGTATTGCCGTCCATCCAGGCGAACCAGACGGTGGAAACGATGAGATCCAGGAGAAATACTTGCTGAAGGTTGGCGACGACCTGCGGCAGGATCAGTTGATGCTTCAGATGATGGCCTTGATGAGCTGCGTCTGGCAGGACGCGCATCCTTCGTCCCCTCAGGCCTGGACGTTGCAGAAGACTCTCGGCAGGCGTTGCTGCCTCCTGCGCGACCCAGGTACCCTGACAGACCGATCCTGCCTGTGTGAAGCCTCTGCGGTCGAGAGTTTGGGTCGTGCTTTAGCCCACAATCCTTCCCTGCTTCTGCGACGTCGGATCTCGGGGCCGCGTCTCTTCTGCTCCGTCCGGATTTCCTCTCCCCTCGTCGTCCCTGGGACGCCGACGGGACGTCTCTCGAAAGAAGGCCGACGCCGATGCCGGCACTGGGGGACGACAACTGGTGCGGCGGCGACGACTTTGACGGCGGCGGCGTTGCCGACGCCGACGACGCCGAAGCCGACGTCGGTGCCCGCGGCGGCGACGACTTCGACGACGGAGGCGGCAACGCGGAAGCCGACGCCGACGTCGCTGCCGACGGCGGCGACGACGACGACGACGTTCACGACGGACGCATTCGTAGCCTATTTTCACAAGCGCGCTGCATTTTGACAGTGCGCCCTGGGTTTCTTTGGTTTGTGCTCGGGCTGAAAGCTTATAGGGGTAGCGAAGAAACCACAGCTGGCGGGATACGGTGAGTGTTTGGACGCTGAGGTGCTTTGCGCGAGCCATCAATGAACCGCCTGGCCTGGCCCAAGGTAGCCTGAGTTGCTTCGCTGGCAGCCGCTTAGCAAGGAGCCCAACGCTGGCCGCAGAAACTTTGCGACTTTCAGAGTAAGGAAGGAGGAGGAGGAGGAGGAGGAGGAGGAGGAGGAGGAGGAGGAGGAGGAGGAGGGGGAGGAGGAGGGGGAAGAGACCACGATCAGGTGGGGACCCTTCGCTTGGGCTCGGAAGGGGCTCGAGGTTCCTTGGGTCCTTCCATGGCTGTGCCTCAAGCCCTGCTCGGGCACGCAGGCGCTTCTGGTGCCAAAAGGGGCTTCGTTACTATTTTGTTGCGTTCCTTCCTTCGTCGGCCGGACTGTACGACCGTCCGCCGAATCCCAGAAGCGGGGAGGTGCGGCGTCCGATTTCGCGCGCGTTGTTTGCCGCTTCCCGTCGTGGTACCTGCTTGAAGTTGTGGTTGGTTTGGTCTCTTTCCCCCGCGCCAGGTGCGGAACGACGCTCCTGGGAGGCTTCGGGGTCAACCTCGTGGGAGCCTTTTTGTTCAGGGCTCCTGGGGCCTTTCGGGGGGGGGGCACAGTTGGCGTTTTCTCAACAGCCCTGGGCGTTTACTGCGCAGTCCTGCGCTGTTCGACTCCTGCCTTGAGCGTTGGTGCTGAATGGCTTCGCTTCTAGGGGGGGCTTCTTGTTCTGGTGGTCGTTGTGCCCTCCAGCCATGGCCACGAGGGCGACCCTGGAGGCCCAGAGCGAGCCCACAGGGCGGGCACCACGGCGGCCCCCGCTCCCTCGCCGCCGTGAAGCAGAGGGTCCCGACGGACACGGGCCCGGAGGTCCTCCGCCGTGCTCGGGCTCCTCGGGGCCCCTCTGCTCGGACCCCCCGTGGGGGCGGCGAGGGGAGCGACCCGAGGGGTGCAGAGCTGGGTCCCCGGGGGAAGGCCCTGGGAGCCCGTCGTGTCCAGCGGGGGCGCCCCTGTGGGCCCGGATGGATCCCGCAGAGCGGGGGCCACGGCGGGCCCCCTTCGGGGAGCTGGCCCCCGCAGATGACGAGTGTGGCATCCGTGGCTGTCAGGGGGAGGGGGGGGGGGGAAAGGGGGAAGGAGGGAGGGGAGGGAGGGGAAAGGCTGAAGGGGGGGGGGGAAGGAGGGAGGAGGGGAGGGAGGGAAGGAGGGAGGAGGGAAGGAGGCTGACGGGGGGGGGGGGGAAGGGGGAAGGAGGGAGGGGAGGGAGAACAGACAGAGGACAGGGAGGAGGATGCCCGGAGGCCCACACTCTTGACGATCCGCGTGTTCCACCATCCCCCATCCCGAAACTGCGCCATTGGAACTGTGGGGAGGAGGGAAATTCATCAGCAGATTATGCAGCAAAGATGCCAGCAATGTCGGAGATAGAAATCGACCCAGGAGGGGGGCAGTGCATGGGAGGTCGTGCCAGCAGAGGGGGGTTCCTCAGAAGACTACCGACACACTGCCAGGCAGCGCTTGGCATTCTGCCACGCCTCAACATTCCAGGGGACACGGTGGCGGATGTCGTCCTGTCTTCCTACAGGAAGTTCTTCCCTCCATCCGAGGTGAGGGCTTGTACCGCTGGGAGAATCGATGTTCGAGGACCTCGGAAGGCGGTGGATATGGATCTGATTGGCCCAGGGGGTAGCCCCACGTAAGGTCATGTCCGCTGCCCGCTGAGGTCCCCGAACATCGACCACCCTGGCAGTGGTGATGGATCAATCCATGGATACAGTCCGCCTCGCACTCAGGAACGCTCTGGAGCCTCGGACCCAGACACGACCCCTACTCCTCCTCCTCCTCCTCCTCCTCCTCCTCCTCCTCCTCCTCCTCCTCCTCCTCCTCCTCCTGCGATCGACGACTGGCGACCGGCCAGCGGCGACGGCCGCGGCGCAGCCTGTATCTCCAGGAGCGGCTGCCCTCTGCGGACGCCCGGCTACTGCAGATCGCCAACTTCCGGGCGCTCGCAGTCACTCCCCAGGCTGCCGCCGTCCCGCGGGGTAATCGCCGCCGTCGTCCTGTCACGATCGAAACATTCGGTAGCAAATCATGGGAGGCTTTTGTGCCCTCGCAATTTTGTCTTTAGCGTCGATTGGCGCCGATTAGCGGCTGGGAGTCGATGAGATAGCGTCGATTTCGCGTCGATGTTGGCCTCTCGTGGCGGGCTTCGGACCCAAGGTTGGTCAAGAGGTCCGGGGGCCCATGTCTCGAACAAAATCGAGCTGCCGGATTTCTGGTGCGCCTCCGTCGCCGCCGTCATCATCGTCGGCGTCGTGGCCGTCGCCGTGGCGTCGTCGGTCTTCCTTCACAGGCACAACCCGACGAAACCTCCAGGCACCAGTTCTCATGAGATTGTTTTTTTATCCTCTGGGGGGTAACGCTCGTTACCCGGGCCTCGCCCCCCCCCCCCCCCCCGTAACGGTAACGCTCGTACGCGGGGGGGGTCTCGGTCTTCCCCTCCGTCGTCGTCGTCGTCGTCGTCGTCGTCGACGGCGCCCGAAAACGGCCTCCGGAGGCCGAAACAGGCGGCAAACGTCGTCGTCGTCGTCGTCGACCTCGTCGCTCGTCGCTCGTCGATCATCGTCGTCGCGCGCGCGGGCGCGGGCGTGGTGCCGGGACCACGCGGCGGGCTTTGCGCTTGTACTCGAATCGCAAGCCACTGTGGTGCTCTCAGGCAGAGAGTGCTGCTCGCGCGCATACTATGGCGATCGCAGAGCGCCCCTGCTTCGCCATACCCCGCCCAGCCCAAGCGTTACCGTTACCCGGGGGGCACCCCCCCCCCCCCCCCCCGGGTAACGAGCGTTACCGGCCGGAATAAAAAAATGATCTCCATCACTGCGCATCGTGATCGTCGCTGCCTGGCGCCATCGTCGGCGTCGTCGTCGCCGCCACCGGTGTCGTGGTGTTCAGGGCGGCAAGCCGACACACACGTCTGTTGTTTGTTCGTGATGTTTGCCCCGTCAACGTTTGTGCGCCCTGACGGGTAGAAGCTAAAAATTGCATCTGACAAAAATAATGGACGGCGACAGGCAGGGTATGTGAAGTTCGTGGCGGACTCGGTGCCGCTGTCTGACGCCTTGCACGAGTCCCGCGGCAATTTGTACCACTGGCTGGAGCATCGGCGCCTCGAGGTCGCCTGGCGAAATCCCAGATCGCGCCCCTTGGACGCATCAGTTTGTTTGGCAGTGGCCCGCAGTCCGATTCACCTGCACACGTAGCATGCGCTTGCGTCCACCGTGTGCTTCTGTGACGGCCCTTTGGACGACAAGGAGGTTCGGGAGATTGGTGAATCGTGCGTTTCGTCAGCGATTGAGTTTGCGTCGGAGTTGCGACACCCATAATTACTCATGTTTTGGACTCGTCTCTCATCATCCTCAGACATATCCCCGTTCCCGCTGGTCTAGGGTTCTTTGGCGCCACTTGCCTACCCTGTCGAGGTGGGGTGCATCCACACCACAAACCCTCACGGAGACGGCATCGCACAATGTCACGCGCCGATCGTTGGTCTCGGTGCGGCTGCTCGATGTGATCAACGGTCGTGGCCCGTGTTTTCGCAGGTGCTTGTCTTCAGGCAGATGTCGGTCAGTCGGTCGATCGGATGATGATGTTGATGATGATGATGATGATGATGATGGTTTTGGTGTTGATGATGATGACAATGATGATGTTAATGATGATGGTGATAATGATGATCATGGTCGTGAAAATGATGATGGTGACGATGATGATGAAGTATGATGCCGATATCGACGATGAAGCATATAGTGTTGTTGTTGATGATGTTGATGTAAATGTTGATGATGCTGCTAGCGTTGATGAAGTTGATAGAAGTTAACGATCATGGTAATCATGATGACGATGATCATGAAGATGATGATGATGATGATGATGATGATGATGATGCTGATGATGATGATGCTGCTGATGATGATGATGCTGATGATGATGATGATGAGGATGATGGTCATGATGATGCTGACGGTGATTCTGATCATGAGTACGATGATGATGCTGATGATGTTTACGATGATGATGATGGGTATGAAGACGGTGATAATGATGATGATGGTAACATTATTGCTGATGCTAATACTGGTGCTGATGATGTTGCTGATGCTGTTGATGTGATGATGGTCGTGAATGTGATGATGGTGCTGGTGCTGATGCTGATGCTGATGCTGCTAGTGCCGCTGATTACGATTATGTATGAAAGCGACAATGCTGCTGTTTGTGATGCGGATGATGTTTCTGCTATTGTTGCTGCTGCTGTTGCGTCTGATGCTGATGGTGATGATGATGCTGATGACGACGTCGATGACGATGACGATGACGATGACGATGACGATGACGATGACGATGACGATGATGATGATGATGATGATGATGATGATGATGATGATGATGATGATAATGATGATGATGACGATGACGATGACGATGACGATGATGATGACGATGACGATGATGATGATGATGCTGATGCTGATGATGATGATGATGACGATGATGATGATGATGATGATGATGATGATGATGATGATGATGATGATGATGATGATGATCATTTCTGGTCGCGTGGGCGTGGAAGGACAATCAACGTCTACGTGGACACAGGCGGAGAGCCGACCACGCTGGTGAGCAGCACCAGCACGGATCTCGCAGTGCACTGTGGCGAGTGGTGCTGCACCCTGCCGCGTGCCGCAGCACCTGCGAGTGCGACAGGAACGACCTGCCCCAGGCACTCAGACCCGGAAGATCCGAAGCGATGATGGCCAATGGACGCCATCGCCCAAATATGGGAACCGCCTCGCGGGAGCCACCGCCTGAGGGAATCGACGTTCTTCCTTTGGTCGAGCGCGCTCTCTGATCGTCGCACAGTTCGTCCATAGTCGCTTTGCGCTTCGCCAGCGTAGGAGCCGCGGCGCGTGGAAGTCGCCTGCACAGGAGCCGCCGCGTGGAAACCGCCGCAGTAGGAGCCGCCCCTGGGTGCGCAGGAACCGCCTGCGTGGAAGCCGCTGCGCGTACGGGCCGCCTGCGTGGGATCCGTCACCGTGAGACTGGATTCCGTGGGAGCTGCCGCGGGAGCTGTTGTGGGAGCCGCCGCCGCGGGAGCCGCCGCGTGTGAGCCGCCTCCGTGGGAACTGCTTCCGTGGGAGCCGCCGCCACGGGAACGCCGTGGGAGTTGCCGCTGTGGGACCCACCTCCGTGGGAGCTGCCGCCGTGGGAGTCACCTCCGTGTGGAATCCGCCTCGAAGGAGCCGAAGCCGTGCGAGCCGCCGCCACGGTAGCCGCGGTGGTAGCTGGCGAGGCCCGCCTCCGGAAGAGTCGCCGTCGTTGGAGCCGCCGCCGTGAAGGCCGTGGGGGGCGTTACCACGGGAGCCGCCTCCGCGGGAGCCGCCGTGGGAGCCGCCGTGGGGGCCGCCGCCGTGGAAACTGCCTCCGCGTGAGCAGCCGCCGCGGGAACCGCCGCCACGGGAGCCGCCCTGGGAGCGGCCGCCGCGGGAACCGTCTCCGAGGGAACCGCCGCCGAGGGAACCGCCGCCGTGGGAGCCGCCGCCGCCGCGGGAGCCGCCGCCGTGGGCGCTGCCGCCGCTGAAGGCGCCGCCGTGGGAGCCACCGCCGTGGGAGCCGCCGTCGTGGGAGCCGCTTCCCTGGGAACCGCCGCCTGTAGCGGGCCGCCCGGCGCCGCAAGTAGGAGCCGCCATGAGTGGGGCCGAACTTGAACACCACGTGCAGGCCCAAGGGAAACTGGGCGTAGTGGCGCCAGATGGACCGATACTGAGCCCGTACACTGCTTGGCGCCGGTGCCGCCAATTTGCGAGGGACAGTTGGAGCCCGAGGGGAAAGTGCATGTGGACGTGAACGTGAGAGTGGACGTAAACCGTTGCACCACCGTTGGCTGAAAGCCGGATCACATGTTGTTGCTGATGATGAGGATGCGGGTGATGATGATGATTTTTATGGTGAGCGTGATGGTAATGGTGATGGTGGTGGTGATGATGATCATTGTCAGGTTCTTGATTCGGATCGTGGCCATGATGAACACATGGCCATGCTGATGGTTATGATGATTCTGTTGTTGATGTTGCTATGGATGCTGGATGGTGACGATGTTGTTGGTGATGGCGATGATGATGACCATAGTGTTCATGTTGGTCATGCTGCTGATCATGACGACGATGGGTTCGATATGTACACCACCACGTTTGGTCAGCTATGGCGCCAATGCATTCGTCGAGGGGATTCGGTGTATAGTCGCTCCAGCATCCCATAGCTCGACAAGAGGGGGCGTCTATACACCGAGTTCCTTAGCCGACCAAGCGACGTTGTGTACATATTGAGCCCCTAAAAGTCGGGACACAGCAATTGCCAGGTGTTTGAGCCTGTCCCAGGTGTCCCCCCAACCGCCAGCGCGTAGCCTCGGTGCAAGAGCTCGAGGGTGTGAGACGGGGGTTCGAGAACCATGCGATATCATAGATTTTATGGCGCCCATTTCTTCTTCTGTCAATGCGTTCCCTGGTCTGCCCTTGTCCGTGCACATGCCGCGGCTCATGATGCGCTAACCCCCCATTATTCGGCTCGCACAGAGAGATGGCGTCCCGATCCCCGCACAATTTCCACCAAATGGGGCAGGGTTGGTGGCACTGGGGGTAGGGGGAGCTTGTCTTGCTGTGTGGAGGACTATCAAAGGAGAAGAAGCATGTTGCCAAAGCAATTCCAGATGTCTCAGACATCTTTTTAAACATGGTTCAAACATGTTTAAAACACTTTTGGAGCACGTTTCCCACATTTTAAGCACATTGAGCATTCAATGATAGGACTGCTGGGGTGGGTGCCCATTGTCGTGGCATCCACAAGTCTTGCTGCGGGTGGTGAACATCGACCCCCACCCTCGGCGACTCGGACGTGGGTCGGGGCGAGGGGCGCCGGCCGGCGAAGGAGGCAGGGGGGTGCCTCTCGGAAGGGGTCGGGGGCCTTGTCCGGGAGGCTTTTCAGAAGCCACCCTCTGGGCTGCCCGCAGGCACCTCTGAAGTGCCTTTCCTGGGCTGCTCGCAGCACCTCCCAAGTGCCTTTTCCTATCCTGCAGGACAGAAGAAGCTCCAGCGTCTTGCCTCGTAGGGGGGAGGGGCAGCTGGCATTTCCGCTGGGTTGTGTCCTGGAGGTCGATACCTTCGACCAGCCTCGCCCGCCCCCTCCGTGCGCACAGCGGCCAACCCCTCCCCCCCGGTGTCACGAGGCCTCGGCAGGGCGGCGCTCCCTGGGCCCAGCAGAGGGCGGAGCGGGGGCGAGGCTCGTGTTCCCGGGGCCGCCGCCTGCGGCCCTCCCGAGAAGTCGGGGGTGGACAGACCTCCTACCCTGACACGTCGATTAAGGAATCGGCCGTTTTCGGTTCCTCGATCATCCTTCTCCTCATCCCCCTCCTCGATCATCCTTCTCCTCCTCGAGCCTCCTATTCCTCCTCTTCCGGCTCGATCCATCCCCTCTTCGATCCCTCTCCTCTTCGACCCTTCCGCATCCTCCTAGATCATCTATATTCGGGGTTGGACAGACCTCCCACCCTGACACGTCGATTAAGGAATCGGCCGTTTTCGGTTCGCGAGAGGGCGTCGCGGCCGTCGTTTTTGCGGGTTCAGGTCCGTCGGTTCCGGTCCCAGGCCGTTTTCACCAAGGGGAGGTTTATTAAGGGGAGGTTTGTCTACCGCCGAAGAAGCCGCACTCTTGTGCGGTCCTTCACGGGGGCCTTAGAGGGTCCCCACATTCCCAGCGGTTTTGGGGGGGGCAGGTCGCCAGCATGTCGACGTCGTCGGATTTGGTAGAACATTTGGGCGACGTGTGGACGAGAGGGTGAAGAGGGGCACTCGAGATCTGGACGAAATCCAGTCGAAGTCACATCTAGGACAGGGCCGCGGAGGTCCACAGGAGCTCTCATAAAGGCTCACCCAGATACTTCAAGCGCCTCACCGCCAGGGCCTTACCTTGGACGAGGTGCTGGACAACTTTTGCGGCAGCGTCGCGGCGTGCTGCGTCGTCACCTACATCCTAGGCCGAGCGCTCCAAGGGTGGCGGTGCAGTGTCATTCAGGGGCAACGCTGGGGAGGGGGGAATGCTCAGGGTGGGATGCTTCGACCCCCAATCGCCGATGGTGTCCTGATGGCCCACCCCGCCCTGGAACGTTCGGACGCTGATCTATCGAAGATGTATCGTCGATCCCCCCGCTGAGCTGGTCACCCCTATCGTTCCCCCTCAATCTCGGCTTGTTTACACCGCGTTCTCAGATCTCCAAAGTTTAGGAAATCGCACTGGATGATCTTTGCAGTCTTCTGTGTGAGTTCGCCGTCATTGTGTTTTTGGGTGGTCCATGCACGTCTCAGGATGGAAAGCATGCCGATTGGTCCGTAGCCCACCGTCGCGGAGCAAATCATGCTCCCGGCGCGACCTCAAATAGGGGAAAGTTCCCATTGCATGGGCGCATCGCTTGGCGCTGGGTTGGCATCGCTTGGCGGTACTTTGCATTGCATTGCTTTGCATTTCTTTGCATGTCTTTGCGTTGGTTTGCATTGCTTGGCGTTGCTGGGCATTGTTTGGCGTTGCTTGGCACCTTACGTGGCATTGCTTGGTGCTGCTTGCCACTGCTTGTCGTTGCTTTGAGTTGCTTTGCATTGTTTGGCTGTTCTTGACATTGCTTGACGTTGCTTGGCGCAGGGGAGATGTAGCAAGGAAACAAGACCGACCAACCCTTGGCAAGGCCACATCATGGAAGCAATACCAAACACCCCCGCCGGGGAGCGCCACGGTAAGGAAGCAAGACTAATCCACCCAGAGGAACAGAACGGTGAGAAACCGAGGAACGCCAAGCGAAGGAAGCAATACCCAGGAGCCCCGACGAACGCTGGCCAGCCCAGCCCTCGTACCCACCAGCCCTGCAAAGACAAGGAAGACGACCTTAGGCAACGCTAGTTGTGGACAATGGCCGAGGGCTGAATTTTGCCGTGCCGTGTTCTGCGAACCGACAAAGTGTACGTATGCGACGTCGCGAGTCTGGCGGTGTTGAAAGTGAGGCGCGCTGGTCTTTTAAATTGTCGCTAGGCAAGCTGCTGGCAATGCCGTGGTCGAAAGCGGTCCTGCCGTGTGTGTGGGTGTGGGTGTGTGTGGGTGTGGGTGTGGGTGTGGGTGTGTGTGTGTGTGTGAGTGTGTGTGTGGGTTGCGTCGCGATGCGAGCCCGTGATCGTGGGTGTACTTGGTTGCACCGTGTCTCGTGGGCGTTGCCATTCCTGAAGCGCCCGAGCATTCAGCATGATGCATCACGAGAGCCAGCCGCAGCCACGCGCTCCCACGCTCTAGCGACGATTGGGGGGGTCGAGGGACGGGACAGAGGGGCGTGCATCGGCCACGCGCAGAGGGGGGCAGGGGGAGGGGGGGAGGCTTCTTAGAAGGAGGCTGCTCCTTAGAAGGCGGGGAACTTGTCTGTAGATGTAAGGCCCGCGCCTTCTAAGAAGCAGCCTCCTTCTGCGCGCCGCCAAGTGTCCGACGCTGAGCTCGGCGTCGCCCGGGGCAGTTTGGGAGCGAGACGGAGCGCACACACATTGTCGGATTCGTGGGGCGGGTACAAATGACATTTGGAGGAGTGATGCGCGGAGGTCCCGCAGTATGGGGCGGGGTCGCCGCCAGGCATTGGCGATCGCCACTTGGAGAACCTGTGCATCACGCGCAGGGGCCAGCTGTTCCACGTAGATTTCGGTGCGCGTCGGTATATGTACCATCTCGTCCGTGTTGAACCATCGCTTGCTCTTTCCACCACGTTTGTCGTCTCTGCTACGTATTCGCGTTTCATTGCCAGATGCCCAGACGATCTCTTATCCTCGACAGGGTATACCAATAGTGTGCCATCTTCTACTCGTTGTGACAAGTGGTTGGCTGGACGGGCATTCTTCATGGTTGTGTCGCGTGATTGATGTGTGGTAGTTTGCCAGCGGAGCATGAATTTCTAATTTGATACGGATGAGTTTCAAGACTTCCAGGTGTTCTTGTTCATCCGTGCGTGTGTAAGCTCTGTATGTCAGTTAAATCATAAGGTTCCCGCTCGCTGATTAGGGAGCCTTCAGAGAACCCGAGCTGCTGTCTCTTTCACCCCCAGGGGATCCTCGAGGCGCAGCTGTCGGGGCACGCCTTCAAAGCAATTCGAATGTCGCTTGTGGGCATCAAAACGCTACGTTGCATCATTGCGGGACCGCGCATGCCCCGAAAATGGTGTCTTTTTTTGGCATCGGGCGCGGTCTCCGACGCGGACTCGACACGCACTGGACGCGAACGACATGGGTTCGACGCGAAGTCGACGCGGACATCGGCGCGATGGGACGGAAGAGGTCCCCCGAAGATGCATCATACAACGAGAGGGGGGATCAGCGGCGAGCGATGGGGGGGAAGTGAGAAGGAGGATGCCTTCCCAGAAGGAGGCGGGACTTCTCAGAAGCCCTCGGGCTTTCTGAGGAGTTTGTTGTCTCTTCTTTGAGGCTTAGCCCGAGCCTTCCGAGAAGGCCCGCCCCTTCCCCTTTCCCCCCCTCGCTCGCCGCCGTGCCGAGGGGAGGGGGGCGCGGGCATGCGCGCGCCGCGCCCGCCCGCGCGCCGCGCGCAGCGCGGCACGGCCTGTGTGTCCGCCGGCCCCGCCCGGCGGGGTCCGCAAGTCAGGGGCGGCGATAGGAGGGGATAGGCGTAGGGGGGGATGCATCGACCCCCAATCGCCCATTGATCGCCGATAAGGGCCCGGCCCGACCTGCACAGGAACGTTCGGATTTCCTATCGGGGGCCTATCGCCTATCTATCGGCGATGTAGCGCCGACTCCAGGTCGATGCTTCCCCCCCTGTGCCAGTCCCCCCCTATGGTTGCCCCTCAGAAAGGCATTTTTGGAGAGTGAATGAACATCAGAATCGGGTGAAGGAATATGAGCCCAGTCTATCTATGCATATATATATATATATAAATATATATATATATATATATATATATATATATATTTTTTTTTTTTCATCCGTTCATTTTGGTGACTCATTCAACCTATGTAGATGTTCAGTAGTTCGATGTTAATATTCAGCCATTCGGTTCTTAGATTCATTCACTTGATTTTCCATTCATTCACGTATGCACCCACGGCGCAGGGCGTCTGAAGAGTTCTAATTCTTGGAGTAGTTTACGAAGGCACTCGCAGTGTTCCTGGAGAGAGAGAGAGAGAGAGAGAGAGAGAGCCCAGCACTTGTTGTAAAAAGGAGCAGTGTGCTATCTAATCGGCGCTCTGGGCTATACCCATAGACGAGCGTGAAGGTTGCCCTGCTGTGTCCTCAGATATTCGCCAGAGCGCCCGTGCGAGCGGACAGGCGACGGGGTGGCGCGCTGCCAATGCCCCCGCGTTTGCACGCACATCGCCAACTGCATCGATGCGTTATCAATGCTTCAATCTCGCCCTAGTCTAGGCGTGCGCCCCTCATGCCCACCTTGATCCACTTGGCCCTTTGTGGTGATTTGTTGTTTTCCACTGGTCGAAGAGCCATCTCTGCACTCTTCGTCTCGCTACCTTGGGAGGTTTCATCCTGGGCGACGACCCCAAGCCGATGGCGCCTCCCGTGCGGCTTCCACAGCAGGTGGCGCAGGCCAGTGCTTCTGAGGAGCAGTAGGAATGCTTGAGGAGAAAGGAGATTTTAACCGTGAGTGGTGGGTTCTTTACCGTAAGCGTGGTGCCAGGCTAATGTATCAGCCTAGCGGTACCAGACTAGCGGTACCGGACTAGCGGTACCAGACTAGCGGTACCAGACTAGCGGTATCAGGCTAGCGGTACCAGATAAGTGGTACCACATTAGCAGTACCAGACTAGCGGTACCAGATTAGCGGTACCAGACTAAAGGACCAGTTTAGTGGTACCAGATGAGTGGTACCAGATTAGCGGTACCAGATTAGCGGTACCAGATTAGCGGTGCCAGACTAGCGGAAACATAGTAAATAGCGGTGCCAGACTAGCGGTACCAGATTAGCGGTACCAGACTAAAGTATAAGATTTGCAGTGCCAGACTAGCGGTACCCGGCTAAAGTATTTGATACAATTACCAGACTTGCGGTACCAGACATTACCAGATTAAAGTACCAGACTAAACATATTTAAATACCAGACTAATGTACCAGACTAGTACATTCCAGACTAAAGTACCAGACTGAAGTACCAGACTACACTACCAGACTAGCGGTACCAGACTAGCGGTACCAGCTTAGTGCTACCAGACTAGCGGTACCAGACTAGCGGTACCAGGCTAGCAGTACCAGACTAAAGCGCCAGAATTACAGTGCCAGGCTAGCGGTACTTGACTAAAGTATCACATTGAAGAACCATATTTGCGGTGCTATACTATCGGTACCAGACTAAAGTAGCAGACTTGCGGTGGCAGATCACGGTACCAGGCTAAAGTATCAGATTCATGTACTATTTTAAAGTGCTAGATTACAATGCCAGAATAACCCGATTTACTTACCAGGCTAATGTACCATACTATCCAGAGTAAAGTACCAGACTAAATTAGCAGACTACAGCACCAGACTAAAGTATCATACTAGCGGTACCAGGCTAAAGTACCAGACTACAGTACCAGGCTAAAGTACCATATTGAAGTACCATATTAAAGTACCAGACTAGCGGTACCAGACTAGTGGTACCAGACTAGAGGTACCAGATTAGCGGTGCCAGACCAGCGGTACCATATGAAATCACCAGATTCATGTACCAGGCTAAAGTACCAGATTGAAGTACAAGTTTAATGTACCATGTACCAGACCCATGTGCCAGATTAGTGTACCAGACCATAGTACCAGACTGAAGTACCAGACTAAAGTACCAGCTTCAAGTACCGGACTAAAGTACCAGACGCACATACCAGACTAAAGCGCCAGACTAATGCACCAGACCCGCGTACCAGACTAATCAGGCTAAAGTGCCAGACTCATGTACCAGGCTAATGTACCAGACAAGTGTAGCAGACTAAAGCACCAGACTAAAGTACCAAACGAACCCAGACGAATCAGTCAGAATGTACCCGACTCATGTACCAGTCTAACCAGACTATAGTACCAGACTGAGCTACCAAACTAAAGCACCAGACTAGTCACCCTGAAGTATTAGACTAACGTACCAGACCCATCAGACTACAGGACCAGACTAAGGTACAGTAGTTTGGTAGTGATCTGGTAACTTTGTCTGATTACTCTGGTATTTGAGCCTGGTGCAGTAGCCTGGTACTTTAGTCTGGTACTTTAGTTTGGTACCGCGCTTACGGTCAAGAACTGTTCTTGCTTGAGGAAGCAAGGGCACAGCCCCTCCAAATCTTCTTGCGAGACGCAGCGCGGTTGTTGCAACGTGTCAGCCGCATGGGGGCTTCATTTGGGGTACGGCAGGTTCGTGACGTTTCGGCGCAGCGGCCAACCCAGCGTTGCCGAAGAGTCGCGATCGTTCATGGGGTAACGACCCACGCGATGGCAGAAACCAGTGCCGACGCCATTTCGACGCGAACCTGCCGGCTTCACCTCGAATCTTGAAGATCAGTCACGTTCTTTGGTGCCGTGTTCGTCTCCAGCTTGTTGAACAGGAGGGGCGTCGCCTGACCGCCGTCCAAAACACCGACTGTATGCCACGGCAGACCCTTGTCACCTTGGCTGAACTGCGCAGCGCCGCATTCTGTAATACTGGCCAATATCATGGCGACGTTCTTGAGCGCGTGAAGCGATGGTTTGCCGCCCTCGGACTTCAACCCTTCGTGGCACCGTCGGCGCGCTTGATCGCAAAGTGCACGGCCAGTGGATTGAGGAGCGCAATTGACAATTTTCCACCCGCCATCCCTCCGCTTTTCGTGCCTTTCAGATTTACCCATATGCTCCATCCCCCCTCTCCCCCTATTTCTCGCCCCATGTTTTCTTCACCCTCTGTCCTTCTCTTCCTCTCGCCATTTGCGCCCCAATCATACAGCTGGCGCGCGGCCGAAGACAACCCCAGCCCTGGCGACTCGTACTCTTCTTTTCTTCGTGTTCCAGCTTTCCATTTTGGAGTGCTTTTCGCTTTGTGTATATCCCAGCGGTCCCGTGCCTTTTGCGAGGGGATTTGCATTCTTGACCCACCATCTTAGGGGCCACGTTTCAATCCCGCTGTTGCCTTCCACCTTCACGTCCCCCCGCGCTAGCGCGCGGAGCCGCCACCGCGCTCGGAGGACCCAGGGGGTGGGAGGCCCCACCCGGCGTTTTTGATGTTGGGCTTTCTTGCTCGACGAAGCGTTGATGTGGATACAGACGTGTAGGTGGAGGTTTGTGGATTCGCGACAGGCCCTGCGTCAACACGGATTCGGCGTGCCCCGTCACCATATCATGCGTGCGGGCGGGCAGGTCTTGACCAGTTTCTGTCGTTGATTTCGTGTGCGTGTTTCGAGGAAACGCAACCAGCGATTAAGGCGCGTTTGTTAGCGACGGGTTCCGTTTCCGTGCGGAATCGGGCGCTCATCCGCCAGATCAGGCGTCGCGGCCCGAAAAACTACCCGACGTGACGGCAAGGTTGATGCCTTGCGCTATGACAAGGCGGTGGCCCGCCGCAGCGTTTCGGAAGTTGTCGACCCCCCGTGCGGCGCCCAGTCGAGGAGACAGGTTTCAATGCCTCGGGGGTCTGAAGTGGCAGAAGGGGGGCAACAGCAACGCTCAGGGCCAGGGATGGCTCGCACGGGACGGTATGCAAATGTCCTGCGTTTCGGCGAGGACGTTTGTATACTGTTGCACGCGTTCTGTCTACCCGATTGCGATGCCAACGAGTGGGTTATCGTGCATATGTCACAAGTGTAGATTTGCGGTTGGTTTGGGGTTCGCGTGCGTCTGGGAATTGAATGTATAGATGGTGCGTTCTGTGTGCCCGCTTCGCGCCGAGTTTTGCCGCTCAATATACAGGATCCGCCTTTCTGTACATAGCCCCCTTGATTGGGGGGTCTGTGTAGTTCGTGGCCCCCTCTATCTTACATACTACTTGGCATTGTCGCATATAAAGCATCGGGCTGCCTGTGGGCAGGCGAATGGACTCTATTGATTGCCCTGGGGGGTTCACGGGGATGATCCTGCCCGTGCAGTGTGTGTCTTCTGGGGGGGAGTCCTCTCTAGAGGGGGCGAACGGAGTCTACGGATAATCTTGCTGGTCGTTGTTTTGGGGGGCGCACTTCTGTGTACAGAAACCTTTTCTGTTGATTGGGGTGCGTTCGGAGACCGCGCCCCCTTGGCCTGGATCCACCACGTGCGCCTCGGGTGACCTCCATCCAGGGACGGGCCCCGCAGGACTGTCAACGGTGCACGATGAGTGACGCATTGAGTTCGAGGCCTACTCGTAGGCGCCGTCGTCGTCCTCGAAAATGCCCCTCCGCGGCAGATGTTTGTTTCCCAATAGGCTTTAATGGGGTTCTTATGTGTTTGTGAAGAGTTGCTGGGGTCCAACCAATCACACTCAACGCAAATCAGTGCAGACCAATGCCGAACAGTCATTACCAAGCAACGATAATCAATGCAATGCAAAGCAATGCCAAACAAAAGCACTGCCAAGAAATGCCAAGCAACTCAACACAATGCTGATCAACGCCAAGAAACGCAGCGATTCCAAGACATGCTGGCCTCCCTTGGTTATTCAAGAGGCTTGCGCAAGTCCGCAGACCCGCAGAATAGGGATGAAGTCCACAGGTGAGGCCTTTGGTGGCTTCTTTCGGACCCTCGGGGGGCCTCCATTGGGCATGTTGGGGGCCTATTGGTAGTTTCTTGGGCGCCTGCTGGCTGTCCTGGGGGTCCTCTTGGGGCGGAGGGCTCGGAGCGTCAGTTCGAGTTGCCTCTCTTGGGCCCCTCTTGGGGCCCTGTTGGGGCTTTCTCGGGCCATCCTGGGCTTCTCGTGGGCCGTCTAGGGGCCATCTTCGGCCGCCTTGGGGCCCCTCGTGGGCCTCTCGGCAACGCGCAACAATTCAAATGAACGCCACTTGTTTGGGTCACTTACTCAGCTGCCCCATAACTGGGGTCGCTCCAGGTTCACTGGGTGTTCGTTCTCCAGGGGAGTTTCGCCGGAGTGTCGTCTTGCATTGATTGCCCATGATTCCATGTGCCGCCTCGCCACCCCTCCAAGCCAGCACCCAACCATGCTTTCGACAAAACAGTTTGACCTCCAGCCACCGGCCACCATCTGCCTTGGGACCATGTAGGGCCGTGTTGAGGCCATCGTGGGGCTCCAAGGGTCCGCGAGGCCGAAACAATTACAACATATTATCGCAAGTACATACGCATGGTTGAGCACACGGCATACGTTGGATACATTGCGTTCTGGCCATGACGGAAAACGTTGCCGCTCAGCACGTCACTTCCGAACGTGAATTTTCTGGCGCCCTGGTCGAATTGCACGTCGCCGTGGGCCTGGATCGCAGTTGGGTTTGATGGTGTCGCTGCCGCGCGCGGGCGACGTTGTTTGTTACATCGCCTTGGATTTCCGCCCCGCTCGGCTGCCCATGTCTTTTGGGCTCCCAGTGGGCAGCGTCGTTGCCCATCCCTCCGCCAAGTCCCCCCTTGTCTTCGACAAGGTCAAAGCTGTGATGCCCCTCGAGGAACGCGAAGA